GATCTCAGCTCACTGCAAACTTCCCTTCTGGGTTGAGGTGATTCTCCTGCCTCAGCCTCCCAAGTAGCTGGGATTACAGGTGTGCGCCAGCACACACAGCTAATTTTTGTATTTTTAGTACATATGGGTTTTCGCCATGTTGGCCGGGCTCCCAGAGTGCTGGGATTACAGACGTGAGCCACCATGCCTGGCCAATATCCATTTATTGAAGCCCTTTCTATGCACACTGTGCAAGACTTGGGGATTCACATCCAGAACACACACAGTCCCTGCCCTGAAACTGTTCACTGTTCATGAGCCTAGCAGGTATGATAAGTGTGGTACAGGGCCCCCAGTGTGCTCTGAGCACCACAGTAACGTCCCGAGGTGGGAGTGGGGCTGGGAGCAGCACAGGTACACAGGAGGGGGGGCCGAGGTCAGAGCTTCTCCAGGAGAAAAGTAGAGACTGAAAGGGCCTGACTCTTTGGTGGCCTTCCTCTTAGATATTGCTGGAATGCTAAGCAGGAGCTCATCACTGACGTCTCACCCAAAGGGTTTTAAGTGGATCTTAGTGCCCTGGCCCAGAAGGGCACTGGCTTTTCAAGCAGAAGAAGTGTTCCAATTTGCCTCTTAAGAAAGTCTAGGCTGGGCTTGGTGGCTCATGCCTGTTATCCCAGCCCTCTGGGAGGCTGAGGTGGGTGGATCACCTGAGGTCGGGAGTTCAAGACCAGCCTGACCAAAATGGAGAAACCCTGTCTCTACTAAAAATACAAAACTAGCTGGGCGTGGTGGTGAGTCCCTGTAATCCCAGCTACTTGGGAGGCTGAGGCAGAAGAATCGCTTGAACCCAGGAGGCAGAGGTTGCAGTGAGCTGAGATCATGCCACTGCACTCCAGCCTGGGCAACAAGAGTGAAACTCCATCTCAACAACAACAACAACAACAACAACAACAAAAGAATGTCCAGACCAGGCACTGTAGCTCACGCCTTTCATCTCAGCACTTTGGAAGGCCGAGGCGTGCGGATCACCTAAGGTTAGGAGTTCGAGATCAGCCTGAGCAACATGGTGAAACCGTCTCTACTAAAAATACAAAAATTAGCAGGGCATGGTGGTGCCCACCTGTAATCCCAACTACTCGGGAGGCTGAAGCACAAAAATTGCTGTGAGCCGAGAT